TTTGGGAGACAGAGGTGAGAGGACTGCCTGAGACTGAAGGTTCAATGCCGGCCTTGGCAACTTGGCGAGACCTCGTCTCTACAATAAATCAAAAACATTAGCCGGGCATGGTGGCTTGAGCCTGTAGTTCCAGCAACTTAGAAGACTAAGGCAGGAGGAGAGCTGGAGCCCAGCAGGTCGAGGCTGCGGTGGCTGTGAGTGTGCCACTGCCCTCCGGCCTGGGTGACAGATCGACACTCCGACTCAAACAAAAAAAAAGATGGGAGAAAGGACATTGGGGTTGCTGGAGTAATGACTCAGCAGGGACAGGCCATGCCAGGAGGGGCAGCCTGGGTGGCCAGATGGGAGGGCCCAGGTGTGGGCAGTAGGCGGACACAGCTGGCAGTGGCCTGTGTGGACACAGAGTTGTGTTGCTCTTCCTGGGGACAGCAGGGGGCAGGGAAGGAGGTCTGGGAAGAGAGAGGAGAGGGGACCCCGGGAGCTCAGAGAGGCTGGGCGACCTGCTCGCATCACTGATGAGTCCTACCAGTGTCCCCGTGGCCTCTGGGCTTCCTCACCAGCTGTGCACCCAGACATGCGGAGACAGCCTGGTCCTCACACCCATACCATGCCCAGCTGCCCAGCGGAGGCCCAGGCCTCGAAACCAGGCCACAGTCCACACACAGGGCAGGTGGGAACGTGGCACAGTGCGGCTGCCATGGAAACCAGCCTGACAGATCCTCAAACGCTCACGAGCAGAGATTCTGCAACTCCACTTAGAGGCACACACCGAGAGTCACGAAAACATACGCCCACACAAATGCTTGCCCCGCATGACCAAGCCAAAGGGCAGAACGGCCCAGTATCCATCTGCAGGTGAACAAATAATCTCCGTGTTGTTGCCCGTTCCATCATGGAATAAGACTCAGCCACGAACAGGAAGGAGGTCTCACCAAGTTGCCCGGGCTGGTCTCCAATCCCTGGGCTCAAGCAATCCTCTGGCCTTGGCCTCCCAAAGTGCTGGGATGACGGGTGTGAGTCACTGCGCCCAGCTTCTCCTTTCTTAAAAGTCCACTCCTGACCCCATCGCTCTGCCTCGCCAGCCCCTCTGCCTCTAGGCCAGGTCCCCAGCTGCCCCTCCCATAAACCTGCCCCCAGGCCTTGTGTGCTCCCATGGCCGGGTGGCTAATCCCAGCTCAGTCTAGGGCCAGCCTGGCTGTCGGGCGGCTTTTGCAGGTCTTTTGCAGGTCGTCCCTCGCTTTCCCCCACCTCCTCCCTCCCCTGGTGTCTGGACACCTGGTGGCTCCTGCCCTCCTTCTCCGTAAGGAAGGTTATGCAACCACCCGCCCCTGCGCTCTGGCTCCTGCAATCCCTCCGGGGTTGTCCTGGTTTCACAATGCTCGGGGACGCACACAGAGAGGTTGAGTCACGGGCCTAGGGTCACACAGCCAGGACTGGAGCCCCGGAGTCTACTCCGGGGCCGTGTGCAGCCTCCTTCTTCTGAGCCTCCTCCCTTCGCCTCCCACACAGCCAAGCTGACCTCTGGTCCTGGCCTCTGCCCTGCCCCAGGGAGTCCCCCAGGCTGGCCTCCGGTCCCCCTCGCCCCCCACATAGTGTGCCCGGGACACAATGCCCCGGACTCGGGGTTCACTCCCCACGGGCTCCTTGCCCCCCTCTTCCTGCGGTCTCCTCATCGCACCCTCCCCAGACCTGAAATCTGCCAACCCCTGGGCTCCGCCTCCGGGACACTGAGGCCCCGCCCTCAGCCCTCAGGCTGCCCCCCCCTGCGCCATGCCCTCCGACCTCCTCTCCTGCCCTCCCCCGCCCTCCCCCACAGGCCTCCACACTGGACACCTGCCAGGCGAGGCCTTTGCCAGCGTGTGCCCTCTGCCCGACCGGCTTCCTGCAGACCTCCCACGGCTCCTGACCTCCCCGCCTCCTTGGGTTTCTGCTGAGTCCTCAATCCCCGCCCTCCCCATGGGACTCCCAGCTTTCCTTCTCCAAGTCTCCCTCAGCCAGCTCTCGGAGAGAATTGTCACGGTTTTTTTTTGTTTTTTTGTTTTTGAGTTGGAGTCTCACTCTGTCACCCAGACTGGAGTGCAGTGGCCGCTCCCGGCCACCGCAGCCTCGACCTGCTGGGCTCTGGCGATCCTTCCGCCTCAGCCTTCCAGGTAGCTGGAACTACAGGCGTGTGCTACCATGCCCGGCTAATTTTTTGATTTATTGTAGAGATGAGGCCTCGCCAAGTTGCCCAGGCGGGTCTCAAACCCGCCGGCTCAGGCAATCCATTCACCTCGGCCTCTCAAAGCGCTGGGATTACAGGTTGAGCCACCGAGCCCGGCCGTCACATTTTTTTTGAGTCGGGGTCTGTTGCCCAGGCTGGAGTGCAGGGACACACTCATGGCCACCGCAGCCTCGATCTGCTGGGTTCAGGTGATCCTTCTGCCTCAGCCTTCCAAGTAGCCGGAACTACAGGCACACACCACCACGCCCGGCTTATTTTTTTAATTTATTGTAGAGACGAGGTCTCGCCAAGTTGTCCAGGCTGGTCTCAAACCCGTGAGCTCAGGCAATCCTCTTGTGTCGGCCTCCCAAAGTGCTGGGATGACAGGTGTGAGCCACTGCACCTGGCCCCAGCTAATTTTCTTTTTTTTGTAGAGATGAGGTCTCGCTTTGTTGCCCAGGCCAGTCTTGAACTCCTGGCCGCAATCCTCCCACCTCGGCCTCCCAACGTGCTGGGCTTACAGACACACACAGTCACACCCAGCCAGCAATGTCACCTTCTAGCATACTGGATCATCGGTTTATCATATTCACTTGTCCACTGTTTTTGATTTTGTTTTTTTTGTTGTTTTTTTTGAGTCGGAGTCTCACTCTGTCACCCAGACTGGAGTGCAGTGGCCGCTCACGGCCCCCGCAGCCTCCACCTGCTGGGCTCCGGCGATCCTTCCGCCTCAGCCTTCCGAGTAGCCAGAATTACAGGCGCGCG